TTTTTTTTTTTGTTCTATTTCCAACAGAATAGGGGTAGTCTGAGTATTTAATATTTACCATATTTTGAGTGGCCGACCCTTACAGAGCAGGTCTGATGTTCAGGGGCCCACTTAAATACGAAAATAGAACATTTATATAAAATATAGCGTATCTAATGATTTAAAATTATATTTTAAGACAGCAGGTACTTATACAAAGTGGAATGACCAAGACGACTCAACTGGTGCTAGCCAGATTTTGATAAATCCCTGGTCAGCGACAAGGGTGTATCCTCGTACTGCAGATATTTCCAATTACTGTACATCCCTTAGAGTCCCAGTAATTTGCGAATCATAAATAGGCCTATAACCTTGGACTTTTAGCTTTTATGTCTACTGATTCACAGTGCGTTCCCTCATATCCATGCTTGCACGTACACGTATATCCGTCATTCATATCTACGCAAGCTCCTCCATGCAAACACGGCGACGATGCGCATTCATCGATGTCTTAATGAAATATAAACATAATTTTAATTTTGAGGACTGTTTCCGTATTCTTGACTCCGCCCCATCTATTCATCATCTTAAAATAAAGGAGGCATTACATATTCAATGGGAGCAGCCCTCACTCAACAAACAACTTTACCATGTTAATTTAACTTTGTAAATGGATATAGTCAAACACAGTGCTAAACTGCTTTCTACCACAATCATTTTTTTTTTTGGGAGAGGGGAGGGGATTTTGTTACTCATTCTTTAACATGGTTGACTCTGTCTCTTATACACATCTAGATGTGTATAAGAGACGACAGTAGGATCTGTCGAAACATGTATGTAGCGTAAGGCCTAGCAATGGCTAGGCCTTATTAAATTGTTCAGGCATTGCCTGAAATGATCGTTCTCAAAAGTATCGTCATATTTTTGAATTTTATTAATTTTAATTTAATATTAATATGTCATAATACATATAGGCCTGCAATTATCGTTTTAATGAGGTGCTGAAATGGAATGTGGGGTCTGTTACACAGGCCATATGTCCAATGTTTGTCTCTTCTCTTTCTGTTCAACAATAGATTCAATGTACTGTATTTGGAGGACTAGGCAATGAGGGCAGGGTACTTATTGGACCAGCTAGAAAGGATAACCCAAAACAGAGTGGGATGGCGTGCTTTTCTCAAGGATTTATACTCCACGAGGAGTTAAAGGGAATAAGTCAGTAAGGAAGTCATAGAGTACTTAATCACGTGAAATCACCCTAAAAAAAACTGTAGTTGTATTTCTCTAAAATAAATACAATTTGCTCAGGGTTTTGTGAACTAGTAGTGTATTGATTTGTGTTATAACTTTATCTACAGGAATAGTAATAAATTATCAAGTTTATATGTACAACTAGGACCTATATACACTTATAAGTAATATATGCATTTAAAGTGACTTTTAAAAACAGGGTAAAGGTCTTATATGATGAAGTATAATGTTCAATGTCGTCTGGAGCTATATATATAGGAATACTACAGACGAATGGCTTCGCTTAAAATGGATATGAAACGGTTTCTAGAAATCCAAAATCTTGTCATCATTGTTTAGAAAGTCAT